GGGAATAATACAAAAGGCCTATTGGTAAGAGAACAGATTTAAAAATACAAATTATCAGACATATAGAAGTAAATATTTCTTATTGCTATCACTGAGTGAATCTTATTTGTAAAATGTACCTGACTAGATTTTATTTTATTTGCAACAAGAATTCCTTTTTTCTGTTCAGATCTTTGTTCCTAAAGATCTTTTCCCATATGCTCCAAATTTCCTCCTCTTCATTTCAGTGGAGACAAAAGGGGCACTTTTCCCTCTGTGGACTTAAATACATGGGAAGCTGTTTAGACTGTGCTTTGGGATCTGTTTCATGTCAACTTTCTGTTGTAATGCCAGAACCTTTGCTTCAATTAGTATTGTGTGCTCCTTATTCCGTTTCTAAGCAATTTACATTTTTCACTAGTTTCTCACATCATTCGCAATGGCTAAAATCTTTTTTATCATCAGTAGCACATCCCACCCAGGAGCAAGGCAGACTAAAATGAGTGTTCAGTGAGTCCCTCTGTGTCCTTGGATCCTCTTAAAACCTAGTACTGTAATCTTGTGCAATGTACTTCTCAGCTACCAGTACCGAGAAAACACAACTCAACTAAGAGATCTGCATCTGCCATCACCTGTGTCTGCTTCATACAAGGTAGTTATTCAAAGAGATACTGTACAACCACCCCTCTAACCCCTAAAGCCAGTTATTCATCTGAGCCTGGCTTTACTCAGTTAGAGTAGTTACACAGACATCTATTGGGATCTGACATCCAAATGCTGATTCCAGCTCACTATCTGATTAAGTATGCTGTTGTATTAATGCTGAATATGGCATATTTTCTATTTATGATTAATGAGTAGAAATATCTGTTTTTTAAAACAGGACACAAAGGTCATTTTAATAGACTCATTACTTTTAACACATTGCTCAAAATCAGAATATCAGATGTCTAAATTCAAGCTTCTTGTGCAACATACTAAGAATTTTGTTTTCAATACGCATGTGTTGTTTTCACCAGATTTTTATGTTTGCATTTTTTTTAGACGCTTGTAGACGCTTGCCTTTTTGCTTTTGATTTCTAATGTCTTTAACTTATGCACTGATGAGAGGCATACATCAGGTCAGAGGGCAATCACTAATCTGTTGTTTTGCTTGTTATTTTTTTAACACTCAAAAAATGCACAATATGAGCAGAGTGTTAGTTGTCTAATGCACTGTGGTGCAAACACTCACAATCTCAATGGCTTGGAGATATTTAAGGACTGGAACTGAATTTCAGAGACATAAAACAGCTGTAAATATAGCACAACAAAGGCATCCAAGCAGGACAAAGTTTCTTCCATCAGCTCATTCACATGTTTATATCATTTTGCTTTATAGCTCCTTTGGAATTGTTACTCCAAGGGTCAGCAAAAAAAGCCTTTCAGATTTTATTTTCAGCAATGGTAAAATAACTTAGATTGTATGAGAGGAAAAAGAAGAATATCAAATCCTAAACACAGTTAATTAGAGAGAGAATTATAGCTGATCGTCCTGTTGGGTTCCATTGAACAATTTAGTAACTATGTTCAGTATCAGTCTACACAATTTATTGCACAGTTGCTAAAGGAGATGAGCAAACAGAAACAATTAAAAAAGCTGAGGACAAAACTATAGTTATTGCTGTCAATTACATTTTCTAAACAATTTGACTTGCGTACTATAAATGAGAACATAGGATGAATGGGTTTATCAAAGTTAGAAGACTGGCAGTTTCAAAGAGCTGTTCATGTTAGGGATTGTTTTTTTTTGTCCTTCTTTTTTGTTTTAGTCAGTGCCTGGTCTTAGCAAAGCCAAAAGTTACAGTTCATAGCAGACTTCCTAACGAGAGGATGTTGTTTAAATGGTTCCTGGTCGCCACTTAATCCCAGAAACTATAAACCGAATCAGTTTAATCTAGTAAAAACTATGAAAACCATATCTGTTTTTTTAAAACATCCTTCTATTGTTTTGGTCTCTACAAGTTGCCTGTCATCTGTCCCATCCTTTGTTTGGAAAGGGTGCAGGCATCACTTTCCTTTTTGGGTTAGAAAAGAAGATATTTCTGCCTCAAACCTTCCTTTCTTTTTATTTTAGTAAAAAGGAAGCAATCTCTTATTTAGTCTGTGGAAGCCACACATTTTAGCTCATGTAAAATTGCTCCTGTGTAGCCCCTTTTCAGCATGACAGGATTTTTTCTCTGTCAGGATCTCCGTGACAGACCCCTGGGCCAAACCTTTTAATCTAATTTGAAGCTGATGCACTCAGTCTTCCAAGCCTAGTAAATTAATTATGCTCTGCCATGCAAAACAATTTCAGCTTCCATGCTTATTTAAATATTAGGGAAGAGCGCTCTAATACTGTATAATATATGCTTCAGTTCTTGTCTGATTGTTATGTAGGAAAATACGCTGCACTTCCTGACTCTCTTATAACCTTCCATTGTCTCAATCCCACTAAATAACAGCTATGATAATGGTAAAAGTAAAACAAATCCATTTAATTTTGACTAAGTTTCTTGTTTTAACATTTTATGTTGCTTATGAAATAATTTCACACTTCGATGAATTAAAAGAAGCTGTGTTATACATGAGAGAAAGAGAACAAATAATAACTTGGACCCTTGCTTTTAATCCTGTTAATGTCATTACAACCCAAAACAAAAGCTAAAAATGTGACACAAATGCACAAGCGAAAATGAAAATGAAAAAAGGGAACTGAGATGTAAGTTACAATATTAATTCTTTAAAAAAAAAAAATATTTTAGAGAACAAAACAAAACCATTTTACATATAAACCACCATTATTCAGCCTTACATCACAGGCAGAAATTCCTGTTTGTTCCTCTAGTATTTTACAATTATATAACTTTTTAACAAAACTATATACATTCAAAAGAATAGAGATGTATACATTTATGAATATGAAAAGGGAGGAGACTATGTAAATGTACCTTATTAAATATCAGTTATTTTGTATCTCAACAAAATCTGACCTTAAAGGTTTAATGTACTGAACCCACCTAGACCAATATTTGACAATTTTTTTCATTTTTAATTTTAGTGAAAATGTTATTTTTTCCATTATATATATTTCCTTTATTAATTCAATCCAATCATTCATTGTTGGTAAATCTGGGAGAAGTCACTTTCTTGTTATAGCTTTCTTCCCTGCTGATATAAGGATTTCATACAAATATTCATCAGTTCCCCTCCAATCAAAATCCAGTTTACCAAAATATAAAGCCTCAAGTGTAAAGAGCACCTTCCTTTCAAATAAAGTTTCCAGGGCCTCATGTAACTCCTTCAAGAAAAGCCTTATTTTAGGGCAATTCCAGAATATATACCAATGATTACCTTGGTTTCCGCACTGTCTCCATTATTTAGACTTTTTCTCAGTATGGTGCGCCTTCTGACTCGGAGTAATGAAAAATCGAACAATGTTTTTCCAGCAAATCTCTCTCCATAAATGTGAGTTAGTACATCTCCGTTGAAATTCACAAATTTTAAGCCACTCTTCATTCGAAATTCTAACTTCACTTTCTTTCACCCATTTCTTTTTTTACAGTATATACTCTATAGAATCCGAATTCTTTTCCATAACACTTTTATATAATCTAGATATAATACCTTTACCTAATTCTGATTTGTAGGCTTCTGTAACTATTTTCACTGTCCCGTCATTAACAATATCTAAATCTCCCCTTATAATCTCCTTATTAAATTAGTGGCGCATTTGAAGATATCTATAAAAATCGGAATTCTCCAAATTGTGTTTCTCCTTCAAATACTGAAAAATTTGTAACTGATTCTTATCCATTATATTACAAAATGCAGTTATTCCTTTTGTGATCCAAATTTTAAATCTATTATCCAATTTATTTGGTCTAAACTCTAGGCACACCATCTGAGTATCTTTACTGCCTCACCTAAATTATACTCTTTTGTGATCGTATTCCATGTCCTTAGTTGAAACTTTATCCATGGATTGAATATTTTTTCAGTAATTTTGTCTAAATTCCTAATACCTAATAATGCCCGAATTGGGAGGCTATTTACAAGGGATAATTCAATATCTTTCCATCTGGCTTGATATTCTGGATTACAAGAATTAATGAGAGGTTGAACTTGAGATACATAATAATAATCTTTCAAATTTGGTAAAGCCATACCCCCTTTATCTTTTGAAAGTTGCAATGTTTTGAATCTAATTTTAGGTTTTCTCCCTGCCAAATAAACCTAGAAATCATCTTATCCCATTCTGAAAATTGTTTTGCAGAGACTTCTACAGAAAGAGCTTGAAATAGGAAGAGTAATCGGGGCAGTAGATTCATTTTTACAGATTCAATTCTAGAACTGAAACCTCATAAAGGGGATTAGGTTCCATTTCAATATATCTGCTTTAATTTTAGTTATAAGGGGTCCATAGTTAATTGTTGCTAATACAGAAATATCTTTTGGTAAATAGACTCCTAGATATCTCATTGAACTTTGGTCCAACTTAAGGTGGTATTTGCTTTTTAACAAATTGGGAGGGTTGTAATTAAAAGTTAGAATTTGTGTTTTTTGAACATTTACTGTAACTTTATAGCCTACCAGCAAGCCAAAGCTATCTAAGAGTTTCATTAGTTCTGGAAATGAACTAGTGGGATCCTCCAGATATAACAAAATGTCATCAGCATACAGTGCTATCTTGTGCTCATTCCCCTGTAAGAAATACCTTTTATTTTTCTATTTTGTCATATCCAATGGGCGAGTGGCTCTATATATAGAGCAAAAAGCAATGGAGATAAAGCCTTGTCTAGTCCCTCATTCTAAAGTTATTCTATCAGATAAATAACCATTTATTTTAATTTGTGCTATTGGTCTATCATATAAAGTTTGAATACCTTTGATAATATTTTCACAAAAATCAAACCTACCTGAGACCCTATCGAGGTATTTCCAACTAACAGAGTTAAAAGCTTTCTCAGCATCTATGCTCATCAAAGAAGCAATTATGTTGTTGAATATGGTTCATGATATGCAATGTGTGTCAAATATTTTCACAAGTTTGTCTATCTTGAATAAACTGTATAAATTTTAACTTCCTGTATAAATTTTATAATCCACATTAAGGACTGAGATTGGTCTGAACGATCCACAATCTAATCTATCTTTCCCCTCCTTAGGGATAACTGAGATGATGGCCTCTCTCCATGATGGGGGCATTTTTACATCAATTAATGCCAAGTTACAAGCAGAAAGAAGATTTGGTATTAATTCTGCTCGGAAGGTTTTATACCATTCTGAATTAAAACCATCAGTTCCAGGTGATTTATTAGCTCTGAGGCTCGTAATCACTGAATTCAATTCTTCTGGTGTTATCTTTGCTTTTAATATATTATTTTGATCTTCCGTAAGAGTTGGTAGACTGAGAGATTCCAAAAAAGTATCTATCTTTTCTTCACTTTCTGAATGGGGTTATGTATATAATTTTCCGTAATATTTTATTAAAGTGTTTTGGATTTCTTCCCATTTATATAATACACCATTACAGTTCTGGTCCTTTATTTTATATATTGTATTATCGGTCTGTTGTTTTTTTAATTTTCTTGCCAACAGCTTTAGTGATTTTGACCCTGACTCGTAATATGTTTGTCTAGTAAATATATATATATTTTTTTTCAATTTCCTGTGTATATAAGACATCTATTTTCTTCTAAGCCTCTATTTCTTGCATGATTTGTGAATCCTGTTTTTCTTTATGTTTTTTCTCCAACTCTTTTAACTTTATATTAAGATTAGATCATTGTAATTGCTTTACCTTCTTCTTATGACTGCTCAGAGAAATAATTTAACTGCCCTTAATGTGTCCCATATCATCTCTGGTCCCACTTCCCCATTATCATTCTCCTCCAAAAATATTTTTATTTTTTGTTTTATCTGTTCTTTACATTGTGGATCGTTCGACAGACTGGAGTTCATCCTCCATGTTGTATTTCCACGATTATTACTTAATCGAATGGACAATGACATAGGAGCGTGGTGTGAAAAATCAATTCTACCTATATCGCTATGTTAAATCCTACAGTACAGTATGTCTATCTCTTATGTGTATAAAAAAATAATCAATCCTTGAATATACTGAATAAGGGAAGGAATAGTGAGTGTAATCCCGACCACTTGGATAGAAATCTCTCCAAAGATCTATTAATCCCATTTCCCCCATCAGTACATTAATCTTTTTATGCAATGACTTATCTCTCTGAGAAGATATATTTGTAGAATTGAGCCTGGGGTTAAGATGCACATTCCAGTCACCTCCACAAATCGCTATCCCTTGTCCACTAACCATCAAATCGAACATGTTTTTATAAAATTAAAATCACTACAAGGTGGGGCATATACATTAAGTAATGTTAGTAAGTCCCCTTCCATTTTTCCCAATACTAATACATATCTCCCCTCCTTATCTTTAACTTCTGTAAGCAACTCAAATTGAACCTCCTCTCCTATGGCCAGATTTATATGAGGAGAAATAGATTTTTGAGAAACCCATTCTCCTTAATTTCTCATGTTCCAATACACTCAAATGTGTTTCTTGTAAAAAAGCAATATGACACCCTTCTTGCTTCATTTTAGACAAAATATTACTTCTCTTAATAGGGTTAAGTACTCCATTAACATTAAATGTAACTATTTTAAGGTCTTTCTTGGACATATTTTATGTAAGTGATAGAACTTTCAAACTATCTCTCATATGACATATGTTTCATATTGTTAAACATCCTCTTCCCATCATTTTTTTTCTAATAATGCAACACAAACAAAAAACAAAGTAAACAAAAACATTAACCAAACAATCTTAAACAAAACTGTATCCATCTCCGTCTCGTTTACAGTACTTCCTTCCAACTGTGGGATTCTTTTCAAATGAACCCTGTATGAGCTTCTCTTTTTTTTAAAAAAAAAAAAAGAAAGTCCGTTAGGGAAGTCCTCCTTCTCCTCTGAAGGAGGGCCCTTGACCAGGCGGCACGATGGCAAATCCAAACTTATATTATACAAAGAAAAAAAAGGGTAACCAGAAAAATTAAAAGTCGCTCTAGTCGTAATCACCAGACATCTATCCCGACATTTACAAATTCTCTTAAACATAGCTGGAAACTTGTTTATAAAAAAACCTAAACAATTAAATCCCGGCCAACTTTTAAAAACTCACTGTATCCATTTTCTTCAATCTTGCGAAGGGGATTTCCGCCTGAAACTCTGTAGTTTCTCCTTATATTGCTGTTTTGAGGGCTGGTCTTTCCCAGGGCCACCCCATCTGCCAGCCTTCTGCCAAGTAAACAGTCGCTCGATTTCTTCTTCCAGTGTAGGCGCTGGCGGTATAACGTGTACTTTAAGTCCCCGCTCTGCCATGTCCTTTGTGGCTTCTGCTGCCGAATAGTATAGGCAGGTGCCGCCTTCATAGAACACCCATAGCCTCGCTGGAAATGGAGTCTGAAATTTTATTTTCTGCCATTTCAGCACCTTTTTTACATAAGAATATTCCATATGTTTTTTGAGTACTTTCGGGGGGTTATCATGATCCACATAAAATCGTTTGTTATTATGGAAAAGTTATTTCTTTTGCCCAGCTTAACGCAACACATCCTCTTTCATCTTGTAGCTTAAAAACTTGGCGACAATGGAGCGCGGTTTGGCGTCAGGGCCTCTAGGTCTCGGCGCTAACGCTCTATGCGCCCTTTCAATTCCCAGTTCCACATCCTTCGGTAAACCAAGTTTCCCCCTCAGCAGATTTTCAAGGAAGGTGACCATGCAGTGACCCTCCGATTCTTCAGGGATTCCATAAATCCGAATGTTTTCCTGGCACAATCTTCCTTCCTGGTCTGTTAATTTAGTTTCCAAAGTAATTTGTTGTTGCAAGAGTTTCTTTATCACAGTATCTGTTAAGATCCTTGTTTCTACTTCTTCGATCTGTCCCTCTGCCTTATCCAGTCTCTTATTAACCTTGCTCAGTTCCTGTTTAATATCCGCAAGCTGCTCTTTATTGTCCTGTCTGAAGTCTCTAAGTTCGTGTAATATTTTCTGAAGACTGGAGTCTGTGCCATCTTGTTCAGAACTCGCTGAGCTGCTCCGACTGCGGTCAGAAGTCGCAGTTTCGACATTTTCCACTGTTGGTGTTTTCTCCTGCTTCTCCTGACAGCCCCTACAGCCATAGTTATTATTTTTTCCAACGTAATGTAGAAAAAATAAAGTTTTCAGGGCTTTATTACAAAATTGCTGGGCGGTGATCCGTATTATGCTGCCATTCCCGTCTGCATCCTAACCGGATGTCCTACAATATTAATTCTATTAACTTGACCGTCACTTTATTTTAGGTAGCAGTAGGACCTTCAGTTATGCTCAGGGTGAAATGATTTGCTTGTGAATTCTTGTGAGGCTTTTCACTACTATCAATTATTGCTTGATGAGCCACTGTGTTTTGGTGTAAATGGAATTTTCCTTTGAAGCTTGGGTTCTGCCTATGGACATTCTTCTTGTTAAAGTGTCATTTTATTGTTCACTTGTGCATTTCTAAACCACTCTCTTTCTTCTTGGCGGGCTGAATGAAGTTTTCTCCTTTCACATGTTGCAAGAGTTTTGCTACATCCTCCATACCTGGTACAATTTGTATTAGTTCCTGTTTTCTTTTGTTTATCAATAACAGCCCACAAAGTTCTTTTCTATCACATTAAACTGTCATTCTGCTACTTTTTTGGATGGTTTTTCCTACGTTTAGTTGGGCAACTGCCATTTCAAGATTACTGACATACTATTCAAACTATGTTGTTGCTTTTTTTAAACACTTCTGAACTTAGAGGTCTGAACACCTGAATATGCTTATTTGTTCTGCTGTCAATAAATTATTTTCAGTCATGATTACTGTCCAAGATTGAGAACAAATGAGTTTCATATTAAATGTGCCAATTGATTTTTTACATTTAAAAATGCCCATAAATATTTTATGTGGTATTTTTTTCATGGTACAATATGCATGTTATGTAAGAATTACAGACTTTCTAGAAAAATTGTATCTCCAGCTTAATCTGTTTGTATTGAGAGAGAGATTTATGGATATGCAGATGTAGCTGTTGGATTCCAGAGTCTGAACAGAGTTAATGAAATATCTAAATATATTTTAGATAATTATATCATTATTTCTTGATGCACCTGTGAACAACCAGAACAGTTCAAGACAATTTAATGTCTGGCCCACAATACACATTATTCATCACCTGGTTTTCTTCTCAGATGTTCCACAGAGACTGATAATCAGAGGTTCTGTAAACACAATACTGTATATCATTTCCAAGAAACTGCCTTCAGTTTAATTCTCTCATTCATGCTGTCTCTTTAATACAGACATTTTAATGAGCATAGAAATTCAATGGAAGGTTGTTAAGTTATGTTTGGCAGTTTGGCCTAGGACAAACCTGCCTTTTAAAAAGGATGATCTTGCTTAGATGTTTATCCCAAACATTCCCCCAGAGGTTTTCTTCATTACATTGCTGAGAAATATAAGCTTGTGATCTCTCCAAAGTCCTTACGAGAAACAAACCATTGTTTTTATTGATTACAAAGGCCCGTGTGTCAAAATCATGTTGTATCTTTCTTTCTCAATCACTGGCTTGGTGGAATATTTACAGTATGAGGGAAGAAATAAGATCCCTAAGGGTCCACACTGATACCAGTTCTTTTGGTTTACGGTTCTCTCTTTGTTTTGTTTTCTCTCTGGCTTCACCGAGTCTCTCTCGCTGAGCTCCCTTTCTTACTGCACTCCACTCTACCCACTCGCTGCCTGACTCAACTCTCTTTAATATACCTGCTCAACAGTGCAGACGAGGTACAGTGAAAACTGAATGCTGGAGTTCAAGGTTGTTTTTCCCTGGTGAATCCTAATGAAGTTTAATGGGAATTATGCTGCAAAGCATGTAAGGGATGTTTGAGTAGTTTGCCTACTTTGCTTACAGTAATATGTATTAATTGCTGTTGTGCTTTTAATGTAATAATGTAATAATGTAATACGTTTTGTACTGCATATGCAACAAGAAGAAATTTGATATTTGAAGATTTCATAAAGCATTTCTGTATCCAAAGGGTTGTAATACAGTATGATAAGAAGTAATTGTGTACCCAAGAAATGTTTGTATACCTGCAATATAGCTATGAAAATTTATATTTCTTACCATGATGTCCTTATTTAATGGAAACTGGTCTTTTCTTAAATAACAAAAATGATTTTTATTTACCAGTTCAGTCAATTTTGAGATGTATCTGTAAGGATGTATGCAGTAGGAAACATTATTAAGAATCAGTGTATGAAATAATAAGTGAACCACTTGTGTACTTAATACAAAGTAGGGCTTGATTTGTATTAAATATTGATATTGATTAAATAATTAGGTAACAGGTAAATAAGGATTGTATTTAAGTAGTCTTGTCCTACAGTACCTATATATACTATAATGGTCAAAACGTCATGAGTTTGATCTTCAACGTACAGATTCATGAAAAAGCATCATTCCATAATCAAAAGAAATTTCAGAGGACCTGCAATCAAAAAGAGTTATTAATGCACATCTGTCACAAGAGTCTTACAAAACCATTCGTAAACATTAGGGAAAAAACATTGCTGCTTGTCTCAAAGCTTGCCAAAGAGGATGATCCACAAGACTACAGGAAGAAAGTTCTCTGAACAGAGAAGTCAGAGTCAAAAGTTTAATTTTGGGGCCAAAATGAAATTAAAGTTTCTTCCAACAGAAGAAACTCATTCTGATTATGAAATATGGCGAGAGTTCTGGAGATAATTTGCTCCCTCAGGACCCAGACTACTTGCCTTCACTGCTGGAACCATGAATTGTATCAGGGCATTCCGAAACAGAATGTCAGGCTGTCCATTTGTCTTTTGATGCTGAACTGAAAATTGGTCATGGAGCAGGACAACACATTTATGTTGTAGCCAATCCACAACAACATAGCTGAAAAAGAGGAAATTTCACATTTTTGGATTGGCCAGGTAAAAGACCAATGAATCTTCATTGAAATGAATGAAAAGATCTGAAACAAGCTGTTCATTCCTCCATAAGGACGGATGGGCCCAAATTTCTGACGTGAGATACTGAAAAAAATCTTATTGCAATAATCTATGAGACAAAAAGAGCTGCCATCAGATACTGAATCTAAAGGTTCAAAAACTGTACTTATTCACACAATGTTTTTTACTGTTGGATTATTTTTGTTAATTAAATAATGCAAATATATATTCTATCTTCATGTTGTTCAGGTTATCTTCAGGTTTTATTAAGATTTTCATGAATATCTCATTTTGATTTTGGTCCTAAATATGTAAGAATAAATAATTGAAGGGGTTCACTAACTTTTTGTCTCAGCACTGAATATGCACTGTACACAGTATGCCTTTACCAGACCTTATTGTATGGATAAACATGAAAGTGTAAAAGATAAGACAATAGGAATGTTTGTTCAAAATTAGGAAAACCTATTCAACTGTTAAGCAATTTTACAGAACATGCCCGTTACAATATTAATCATATGAGACGTGTGTATTTTATGTATGAGACTTATGTATTTTATGGGTGAACAAAGAAAACTCTACAAAGGAATAAGCAAAAACAAATAAGTGGTTTTAAATTGCTTTTCATTCTCATGTTGCCCTCCCTGAGGCTCTGCAGTTCACATGCACAATGCAGAAGATTAAAAACATCCAGTGCACAGAAATAAAATCGGTATAAAAAACAAGCATGGCTGTATAGTATAGCCTGGAGCCCTGGCAGCCATGTGAAAATCACTTTAGAGGGGCAAAGCAAACTCCCCAGGGTGAAGTTTGTATGCTGACTGGGAATTGCTTCCTTGCAGCACAGGAAATAAATTCTCTTAAAATCCAGAAAAGGAACTGAAAACTAACAGTAGGCTAATGCTTGTAGTATTGTCTGTATTTCCTTAGATCCATCTATTTGTCGAAAAAATACTGTAACATAATGAGTGGGAAATTTCTCTATAACATAAAACCTAATGTAATGACTAGCAATGTAATTGTATTTATTTAATGGATGTGGAGCAGTAAGTCTCAGGAAATGTGATTACTGGTGTGCTGTGGACATATTTTATTGATTGTCCAGAATACAGAAGACTTTGTATGTCTAATGAGGGCATCAAATGTGTTTACAAAACCATGCTTGGATCAGTCTCGCAAGCCTGAATCTCAGATCAATCAACATCATAGAAGAAGCTAATTTGTGCATTAAACGTTGAGGATGATTGAAATTAGTGAGTACAGCAACGCAATTATGAATTTAAATAAAATAATTCAAAGACCCATCCTTCTTCACCTCTGGTGTAACTCTTCAACCTAAGTACATAAGAGAGGTTGCAAACAAGAGAAAGTATTTTGGCACATCTCTGATTTGGTTATGGAGTAGCTAACTGAATCTAAAAGTTCATCCAACCATTCCTTTAAAAAGCCTGCAGTTTAAGGCTCATTAATTTGGCTTTGGATGCCTGTTCCAGATAAAGCTCTGTGTGCAAAGCAGTATTTCACATTCTCTGTTCTAAATTAATCCCCTTTAAGTTTACAATAATTACCCTGTGACCTTGATTTGCCATGCAAGGCTGAATAGTCCCCTGGGTTAACCCTATTTATGCTTATATTTATATGCTTTCTTCTCAGTTTCCTTTGTTCTTAGCTAAACATATTTAGCTCCTTTAACCTCTGCATATATGACAATAAATGACCCTCAAACCATGAATCACTCTTCTTGCTGTTCTTTGACTTCTTTCTAAAGTTAATATATCATGTTCTGTGGTAGGGTGACCAACACTGAACACAATATTGTGCAAGGTCTAACTAAGCACTGTGAAGCTCGACTTTAACTTGCCTGAGTTTAAATTCCACATTTCTTCCTACATACTGTACTAAGTATTCAGTTTCTTTTTTATGGTTTCCCCACATTGTTTTGATGAGGATGTGAAAGAATCTACAGAAATACCCAAATCCTTTTCATGCATAGCTTCCCAAACTTCAGAACTATGTTACGTATAGTGTGCATTTGTTCCTTCTGTGGATAAATGTGCATCTAACAATTTAATTTAATTCCCCAAATAGGCAGACTTGAACAAAACACATGCACAAAACAAGGGATTTTAACAAAAATTCCAAACAGATCTGTAATTACTTTTTCTTCAGCAGATGTAAATGAATCAAACGTGCTTTCAATACTTGATTTCATTCAATATCGTCTCCTGTAGGTGTTTGTACAGTACAGTACTTTGTTTACACTAAATACGATCTCTTGTTGGTATTACTATCATCTTTATGTATAAAGAGATAAAATGCATGCATGTAATGACCTAAGAGTTGAGTCATAAACATGTAG